ACCACTAACCAAACCGATTTCTTACACCTCGACACGTGTTTCGCTAATTATGTTAGCATCTTCAGGAGAAGATCAGAAACAGTTCAAATAGTCGAGGTGTGAAAAATCGGTTTGCTTAGTGGTAAAACATTGTGTAGTGTATGAACTATCATTTTATTGTCAGTCCGCCTCTGGCAATATCAAACCATCCTACTCTCAAATTACATAAACAGAATACCAAAGCTCTACCACTTTCATTCCACAGATACACACGATGTTTGATACGAGGGAGATTCAAATTTTTTTGGGATTTGAGTTTTTTTCTGACTAAACAACGATACATCGAGATATAGGCATTTATGCAGAAACAGGATTGCGTGTGGATTAATAGGTGCTGATCTCAGTTTTACCAACGATAATTAATTAATTAACTAATGCTTCCAACGAAGTTTTGGGTATATGAGATAGGTATATACTCAGTTATAAAAGCACGATTTGGTAACATCTATACTTATTGGGAAATCGTCTAAAAAGTAGGAAACCACGAAAGGATGTGAAGTTGGTTCATTCATCCTATATCACAAAAATCGGAAATTGATCTTCCACCATGTGGGGCATATACTTGATGCTGAAAAGTGTTTTTTTGATCGCTTCAAGCGCATTTTAGTTATAGTGAGTGGGGATAAAATCAACAACAGACAATTTATTAGTATACAGCAAGCAACTGAAACAAATTGTCACCCTTCATTATGAGCAACATTTAATCGTATTTTGGGATCAATATACAGTAATGACGCTGAACTTGGTCGACAATAATTGAGTATAATTAACTAGTTGCGGTTACGCATTAAAATATACCTATACAATATACATACAGGGTGTAAATTTGAAAACTTCCAATGCGAATATCTCACGAACGAAGAAAGTTGGAAAAACGCCGTTTGGCAAAAATGCTAAAGAGTTAAGGGGAACTATAGAACCACCATATTTCGGTCAAGGGATGAGTCACCCCGTCGGCGCGACACACCCCAACTTTGAAATGTCAAATGGCACTACCTCTTTTGTGATGCCTCAAATGAACAGTATCAGTCAGTAGTATTCACCTGTACGAGACTTTTTTTCCACCCACTACAGGGTGTACGAAAAATATAGAGTCGAATAAAATAAAATGAATTATGTTATAAGGATATTTAATTTGATCAGATGTTCAAAATGCTTTCCATTCTGTTGTAAGCAATAGTATAATCGATGTTCAAATGCCATTCAAACATTTTGGAACACATCTCTTATTGGAATATATATCGGCATTCTGCATTTTATTTTATTCGACTTTATGTATTCCGTTCACCCTGTAGTGGGTGGAAAATAAGTCTTATACAGGTGAATACTACTGACTGAGACCGTTCATTTGAGGTATCACAAAAGAGGTAGTGCCATTTGACATTTCAAAGTTGGAGTGTGTCGCGCCGACGGGGTGATTCATCCCTTTATTGAAGTATGGTGGTTCTAGTTCCCCCTAACTCTGTAGCATTTGTGCCAAACGGCGTTTTCCTAACTTTTTTATTTAGCGAGATATTCGCATTGAAAGTTTTCAAATTTAGACCCTCGACTTAATGTTTTTTGTACACCCTGTAGTGAGGGAAAAAAAGTCTTGTATAGGTGAATACTACTGACTGAGACCGTTCATTTGAGGTATCACAAAAGAGGTAGTGCCATTTGACATTTCAAAGTTGGGGTGTGTTGCGCTGACAGGGTGACTCATCCGTTCACTGAAATATGGTGGTTCTAGTTCTTCCTAACACTTTATCATTTCTGCCAAGCGGCGTTTTTCTAACTTCTTCATTACGCGAGATATTCGCATTGAAAGTTTTCAAATTTACACCCTGTATAGCTACGGCATAGTAACGAGCCGTCGATTTAGAAACTATATATACGTCCTACTGACTTTATTTTTTTTTCACCATGAGAATACTATTCACCCTTTTTATAACCCAACTATCAAGTCCACATACGAATAATAGACATATAAACAACAGCCAGTTTATCGATGAATGTGTAGATTTTTTGTCTCGAAGTTGAAAAAGCGTCCATAAAAAAACAGCTTCTTTAACGAAATTATGTTTTATTTCATGTCAGTTTTCTCCAAAAATCTTTGTATATAAGTCATGATACATTATTGTTTTCCTTGGTTCATGGTTTTTCAATATATAGCTTAAGCGGAAATTTAATTCAATTTGAGATAAACTCATTCGAATTAAATGGCTCCCAATGAGAATTTAATTCAAAACTGACCTTCGAGACCTGTTATTCATGATTACCAACTGACTGAAACTGATTATTTCTACAAGAGTATCTGGAATTTTCTCATTGGGAAAAATTGAAGTGGGAAGTACAAATATGTAACCCCAAAATAGAGTCGATAAGTTACTCAATTAGTAGTTGATGTATAAAGTGGGTACAATATCGTAAAAACCTCGGTATATAGTTACTACAAAATCAATACTACAGTTGAGTTCTCTTGAAGAGGAAAGCATTACCTAAAAAGAATTTATTCAAAGTTACGACAACTTATGAAAGAAGTTTCATGGAGTAGAGAACCCTAAATAATGTGAAGAAGTATGGTTGTCACATTTTTCAGTCTTGATTTTATTGTCACCATATTGCAGAGAAATGACCATCGGTATAGGTACATGAAAAAACGACAGCTTGCAGTTTCATAATGGTGGCTGGGCACCATCTTGAATATTTTTCTCAAATGAAACATCCCGCACGTCATTCCATTTTTGAAATCTCATATAATTCTTATTATATAGATTCATCTGTTACACTTTACTCCAAAATCTAATAATTTTCGAAATATTGACGTTCGAAAAGTGATATTCTGGTCATTATTTCAAACCCAACCAAACAATATGTTATGTTGTTTTCAATCAAGTTTGCTTAAGGAAAATCAAGATGTTACCACGACAACGATGTTTTTTCTAAAGCAAACTTGATTGAAAGCAACATTCGAGATTTTGGTTGGGTTTGAAATGACCGAAATGTCACTTTCAAAACGTTTTAATATTTCTTAAAGTGTCGAATTAGTAGCAGAGCTTTGATTAAACTATTGAGAATGATGGGGAGATTTCGAAAATAGGAAAATATAAAATGTTCAAGATGACGCTCAGCTGATATTTCAAAACTTCAAGCTGTCTTTTTTGTCATAAAAAAGTAGGTTTTCATCTAATACCCAGTAAACCATTTTGTGTTTCTGAAACGTTCCTGAAACAAACTTTGTGAAATATGAAACATTTCACCTATATACTCCGAAACATTCATGAGACATTCTAGAGACCATAAATGACCTAGGGTGTGTAATGTTTCATTGGAATGTTTCAACACAAATCTTCATGAAACATTCGATAAAGAGTATACATAAACATCTCTGAGATATTTCACTATTGCATTTCATGAAACGTTTCACATTTCCTTATCGGAACATTTGCAACATTTCCAACATGACTTTTTTGAAACATTTCCGATACATCTCACTTTTGCTGATAATGAAACATTTCGAATATGAAACCATTTCTAGTTCATACCAAGACTACATTACCACAAGTGAACCCTAATTAACATTATGTGTGATGTAGTCAATTAGTATTAATATAGGTATATGGAGAAAAAATCAGGGTGAATAAAATAAAACTGCAGCTTTAGTGGATTTTATATTATGAAAACTTATTAAATTATAATAAAAAACCATTTCATTTCATATTTTCCCTTTCTCTAGCTAACCTGAGACCAGATTGGCGGAACCAGGCTACTACATATCATTCGAACTCCACGTCAGTCACAGCAAACCTTTTTCTGACAGCACCTGAAAAAATTTTGAGATTTATTTGAATTTATTGAATTTCAACCGCCTTTCTATGCAAAATTACCTGAAATATCATATTTTTACATCAACAGACCGGCATAACAATGTACAAAAAAGTTGAGGTTATTTTTGCCACTACCGCCCTACCTTCTGTGTATTCAATTTTGGGCCGATTTTCATTCCATTCAATCAAGCATCCAATATTAAGTGAATGTACAGGTAAACCCACTCACGTTTTTCATATTCGTAGTTGTCATTATATTAACTTTTAACATTAGCACTACCACCATCAGGCAATATCAATGGACGCTAAAAATGGCTTCACCGGAATTAGAACAACAAAAGAAAGAATGGCTTCGTCTTTGTGTTCACTCACTCTCTTCTTGGACTTGACAGTCGGAGCAAGTCGGAGCCGGCCGTGCTTGGTTCGGACTGACATTTGCCGATGTTGCCAGAGTAACCACCCGTCTTCATTGGTCACACTCAAGCATGTGATTCATTATAGCCAATAAATCGGAATCATGAACCTGGCAACGTCGAATATGATGCATTTCAAACAAATAGTAAACACATGTATTGAAACATTCCAGAGATGTTTCACGACGTCACGCATAACAACTGTGAAATATTTCACATACGTAAACATTATAGGGATTCCCTTTCGTGCGCTCCAAGCGATAAAAAAAAAAAACATAGCATGGGAGCTTCAGAAATTTTTCCTTTATGTTAACATTGAAATGTTTCAGATGACGCGTCTAGAGATTCACGTGAGACATTTCAAGCAGAGATTTTTTGTAACGAATGTGAAACGTATGTATTGACATATTTCTGAAATATTTCACATAGCATGGAGAGCTTCAGAAATGTTTTCTTCATGTTAACATTGGAATGTTTCAGATGACACATCTAGAGATTCACGTGAGACATTCCAAGCAAAGAGTTTTTGTAACGAATATGAGACGTATGTTTTGACATATTTCTGAAATATTTCTGAAATATTTCACATAGCATGGAGAACTCCAGAAATATTTCCTTTATGTTAACATTGGAATGTTTCAGATGACACGTATTAGGGACCTTCTGAAATGTTTCTGAAACGTGTTGTGTTTACTGGGTACTTGAGCCTTCCAAATTTCGTTGCGATATATTCCGTATTTCCGATCTCTTCGAACAGCTCTCGTATCACGAGACAGGCCTCATCGAATGTATTGATGACCGCCTTAACAATTTAGTAGGATTATTTTCTACACAGAAATCTCTTGGTTGATGGAGGTTACCTATAGTTTCGTTGTTACCTTTCACCTTTTTGTGTCAGTGCTGATGTTATAAGCATCCGGCAAAATCGTCAATATTAGCATAAAATGTCTTGAATTGTTGTGATATCGAAAATGATGCGGTTTTATAAAAATATCCAGTGGCTTGCATTGACAGTTATTTTCACCATTCTATTGAGTGGTTCTTTTTTTCTTAGAAACCGGCATGAACGTACGATATACAAAACGAGTATTTCACCTACTAAATCAGCTTTATCGTTGGCTCCTTTGAAACATGTCACGAAGTCGATTGCAGAATTGGGAAAGATGGATGAAATCAACAAATATTTTTTGTTGTTGAACAACGTACCGAAATGTGGATCAGAAATTTTGGTATTGCTGTTGCAGAAGCTGCAAGGACTCAATAATTATAGGCATGTTAGACTGAAGGAGGGCAATAAGAGACATTTGACGAATTTACAACAGGTGAGCATGATTTTTCGAGTAGGTTTACCTAGGTATAGAGATAATTTGACAACCAAAAGCTAACTTGATAATCTTGCTTTTGGGTGTATGATAAATTGACATTCATCATACAGGGCGTGGAAATGAATTCTGAATTGAGACTCTATCACGAATCTGCGATTAGAAGTCTATAAAAATCACAAGTTTCCATCGTTCAAGTTTGAACCCCCTGATTGGGTAGGAAAGTGTTGAAAAGGAATATTCTCAGATAAATTATGAACATACAAAAATGGATATATATTTATATAAATAAGCAATACATTGAGAATTCGCATTCTCTATGTGATGAGAATATTTACTCTTTTTCAGTTAATTCAATAGAAAACAACTACTTTCCTGGCTATATGCCACGACGAACATTGAATTATATCTATTGAACACACACGATAAGAGTTTGAAAATAAAATATAAAAGTTTCTGAAATTGAGAATTTGCATTCTCCTTCAGAATGATGTGTGTATATACATATTTTTGTCTGAAGGAGAATGCAAATTCTCAATTTCAGAAATTTTTATATTTTATTTTCAAACTCTTATCGTGTTTGTTCAATAGATATAATTTAATGTTCGTCGTGGCATATAGCCAGGAAAGTAGTTGTTTTCTATTGAATTAACTGAAAAAGAGTAAATATTCTCATCACATAGAGAATGCGAATTCTCAATGTATTGCTTTATATAAATATATATCCATTTTTGTATGTTCATAATTTATCTGAGAATATTGATAATCTTGATATGTTCTTTCCTCACACCCATAAAAAACTTAGATATTTCAAATGGAATATACACAAATAAGGCATATTCGTTTCGAATAAGATGATTATGTTCAATATGACATTTTTCAGCAAATTTGTTATATTTAGTCGATCTGCTTGAGTACCTATCAATAACCCATGCAACCAGATGACGTCTCAGTGACGTCTTTTCACGTCAGTTGAATGACCAAGGAGACGTCAGGAGTTGACGTCGTATGACGTGATAAATGACGTGATGAATGAGGTGAATAAGTCATATCCCAATGACGTCATATGGCTCACTTTTGTTGACGTCATCCACTCACCAAACTGTGACGTCGAACTGACGTCGAAATGATGTAAAAATGACGTACAAATTTGGTGATGATACGTAAAAAAGTTGGTGGTCCCTGCAGTCGTGTCATGTCCATTCATTCGTCTATTCAGCAGCGCTATATCCTTCAATGAGCATCTCCATCAGAACGAAATCTGTTACTCGTATTTCTATGAAAAATTATGTAGTTTGTGACGGCGAGATGTAAGCAAATCAAGAAAAGTTTGATAGCAATAAAAAGAATGTTGGCGAATTCAGCTTCACTTTGTTGAGTAACGTTTATTCATGCATTCTTTGTCACCCAACAAAAATTTAGATATCAAATTTTTGAAATATTTTCTGAATGACGAAACTCATCAAATTGGTACGTCACACCGACGTGATTTTTAGACGTCATATATACGTCACTGCAACGTCATAGAAGTGACGGTTTCAATAGGTACACCCAAATTACCATTTTTATGTATACATATTATAGATTGATTGGTTTTCGAGATATACAGGGTGTCAGAGTTTTGAGAAAAGTCTTCTCCTACTTTTTGGGTATGAATGAATGAATGAATGTTTGTTTATTCATGATACGTACATTACATTTACATTTTTTTTTTTTCATGCATAAATACAAAATATATCTCCTAAACATAATACTAAGTGAAATTTTAAATATAACAAAGTCTAGATATATCGTTATATCGATGAAGGTACACTAAATAAACAAGAATGGGTACCCGACTAAGTTCATCGAAGAACTTCGGGTATTCATAGTTTATTGAGAAAAAAATATCGTGAATGTATCTGGCTAAACTAAATTGAATTTGAAAACACAAGTAAAAAAATAAATAAATAGAAGGAGCGAATATTATAATATTTTTTTTTTCTTTTTTTGCTGCGAAATTCTGATTAGGTCTAAAATATGTTTTGACTAATCAATCATTAATATAATTTTCAGTTATTGGACTTCTACCTACGACTAAGATATATGTAAGGGTGAAAGACGTGTATGAAAAACAAAAAGTATTTTTTGGTAATAAATAAATGCATATAGATACAACTATGACAAATAGTATACAGTACAAAAATAATAACAAAATTATATGTTAACTAAAAATGGATCGATTACATTGGCGAAATACTTTCGGTCATTTACGAATATCCATTCCTTTAATTTGTTTTTGAAAAGACGAGCTGAATTTATTTTTTTCAAAGTGTTCGGTAAATTGTTCCAAAATTTCGATCCGATAAAGCAGAAGCTTCTCTGACCAAGTGCTTTCTGAGTAGCCGGGGCATACATAGCGGATTGTGTATTTTGCCTCGTACCGTAAGTATGTGGTATATTATAAGTATAATGCCTGTTTGAGTATAGGAAACAAAGAGCTTTGAAACAAAAGAGTTGTCGCGTGTCCATTACTTTTGAATTATTGAATAATTGTTCTGAGGAGAATCTGCGAGGTTTTTTGAGAATAATTTTCAGTATTAGTTTCTGAATTATATTGATTGGACTCAGATAATTATTCCTTATTCCACCCCAACCAATGATACCGTATATATAGTAATATGGATTCAACAAAAGCGGCGTATATAATTTTCAGTTGATTGAGAGATAAAAATTCCACTAGTTGTTTGAATCTGTAAATGAGGCCTCTGAGTTTATTCGTGATGTTGCGAGCGTGAACGTCCCATTTCAAAAAGGAGTCAATATGGATGCCTAGATATTCCCAGACAGCACCAGATATTCCATGAATCTCCCTTTCATATTCCTTTCGGAATATTGGAATATTCTAGAAATAATCTGGAATATTCCGGAATATCTGTGGAATATTCTCTAAATATGCGAATGGGAATTCCTCAGATAATCATAGAATATACCCAGAAGAATATTCTATGTTGAATGTTCCTGGAATATTCCAATAAACATATTCTAAAATAAAAAAAGTGACCCAAGTAGGAGTCGAACTCGTGACCTCAAGACTATCAGAGCAACGCCTTGACCACTAGGCCAGTAATCGAATTGAATAATTTTATACATATCAAGTTCTTGTGAGAGCATTGTTCGAAATCAGATCATAAACACTTTTTGTTTCAAAATCTCCTTACATCTAATTGATGTTCGATACTCACATCTCTGAAATAATAAAAGGTATTCATGTGTTGAGAAAGATAGGAATATTCATGGAATATTTCATGAATATACACCACAGAATATTCAGTTGAGAATATTTCATGAATATACCGCACAGAATATTCAGTTCGGTATATTTCATGAATATACCCCACAGAATATTCAGTTGGGTATATTTCATGAATATACAACAGAGAATATTCAGTTGGGAATATTCCTGGAAGATTCATACCTGAATATTCCCTGAACATGTCCGACTATTCACTTTGGAATATTCCTTTTCGATGTTCCAGAGGCATGTATATATTCTAGGAATAATCGATGAATATTCGGAATATACTCCTCCTTTTTAGCATATTTAGAGAATATTCTATGAATATCCAGTGCTGTCTGGGTTTGCAGGTGTGTACGAGCTCAAGTTTATGATTTGCTACAGAGATGGTATTATAATCCGGTAAAAATGGTTTATATGAAGTAAAAGGTACAATTTTTGTTTTTGAAGCGTTAACGGTCAGTTTGTTCGAATCAAACCACTTAAATATATTTTGTATATCATCAGAGGCAATTTGTGGGATTTCTGACCAGTTTTTTCCCACGTAAATAATTGCTGTGTCATCGGCAAATGATAAAATTACTCCTGTTGAGTCTGATTGTAGTAAATCATTTAAATACAGTATAAATAGTATCGGCCCAAGAACGGTACCTTGGGGAACACCGACTGTTACAATCTCTTCTTGGCTGAACATACCATCTATTTTTGTAACCTGCCTTCGATCCTCGAGATAACTTTTGAAAAGATCTAATGCAATTCCACGAATGCCGAGACATTCTAATTTATCAATTAATAATCTATGATTCACTGTGTCAAAAGCTTTTGCCAGATCAACAAACACTCCCAAACAAGATTTTTTGTGATCAATAGCTGAATAAACGATGGATGTTAATCTGGCAATAGCGTCTTGAGTAGATTTACCCTCTTGAAAACCAAATTGGTGGGGGGAGATTATTTTATTCTTGTTGATAAAACTAACTAGGCGGTTTTTAACTGCTCTTTCAAACAATTTAGCTATTGACGAAATTAAGGAGATGGGTCTATAGTTGCTTACAAGAAATCTTTCGCCTGATTTGTAAATCGGTTTTATAACTGCATTTTTGAAGTGATTTGGGACTTTTCCCATTTGTAAGGCTAAGTTAATAATATACGATATCGGTTGGCATACAAATTCACTGGTTATTTTCAAGATTTCGTTAGATATTCCGTCAAGGCCACTAGCTTTTTTATTCTTTAATTCCCTAATGAGCTCTTTTATTTCAGTGTGGTCTGTTGGTTTTAGAAATATTGATGAGTTGACGTTTTTAGTTTTGGTTTTTATCTCTGCACTTAGAGGGATCGCATTAGCCATTTTTTCACCAATACTAGAAAAATATTGATTGAAGTGGTTTGCAATTTCACGTTTGTCAGTTATATCAGCACCATTGTCAGACTTAATTTTGTTAATTGCATTGTTAGTATTCGGTTTATTGCAGAACTCTTTAACAACATTCCACAGATTTTTAGCAGATGTTTTGTTTTCATCGATTTTTCTTTTGAGGTATTCATGTTTGGTTTTCTTTAATAAAGAATTTAGTTTATTTTTGTGATTAATATATGCAGCTTTCTTTTCTAAGTTAAGAGGATCTTTCAAGGTCTGTTGGTGTAATTTGTCTCTATTATCAATGGATTTTATAAGGCCTTTCGTGATCCACGGTTTCTTCTTTTTGATAGTTTTTTTTTT